ACATCTACATCTGCCAGATAAAAAAAACCCCCACTAAAAATAGTAGGTAGCCTACAATATCTTAGTCTAACTATAAATCACAGCTCCCTACCTAGACAGACAGGATACAAAAATAAATGTGTGATATACACATATATCAGTAGAAAAGCATAGTGTAAGGTGCTTAAAGTGTAGTGAGAGACACATAAGTCTGACGTGTGTTTCGGTGTTCGAAAGCGATTTAATCAGAGGCATAACACATTTAAAAATTCAGATAACCCCTCCTACCTCACTACCCCGCCAATAGGGAACTGACGGCTTAAATGGAAACTCCTACTCCATATCAAAGCCGCTCCAGCTGGCACTACCTCTTTACCAGTTGGGACATACCACTTAATGTGACTTTTGGTTCCTATACCTAAAGTATTCTGTCTGGTATAGGGTTAAGCCAATGACACTTCTGGTAGTGTCAAACTGGCCATAGACACCTGGTTCGACCATGCTGAACCTGTGGTACCTATCTTTGATCTATTGTTCAAGTATGTGTAATATTAATAAGTTGAAGGGTTAGGAGAAAGGTAAAAATAAAATAAAAAATGTAGGTGTGATATAAAAAAACATTGGACCCTAGTAGTATCCTTACCCTCGCAATATTGCAAATAAAAAACACAATATCCCGACAGGGATACTGAGGTCTGTTTGCACCAACTGCAACTGCAGAAGGAAAGAAAATCAAAAAAAGAGACAAGCACTAGAGAAATCTAGTAAAGCAGAAGTATCACTCCCAACCTCTAGGCCCCCTCAAAAGTGATTAAACAACTCCAACAACTCATTTTGTTGAGCAAAGCTCAAAGATCACTTGGTGGATCACAGAATTCCTCCCATGATCCCCATTTTTTAAACATATGATTGCATAGTTACCACTGTAAAATGATTTTGTAAAGCAATTCCAAGGGGACCTGCTGTGAGTGTGGCCTCTAAGATTATCATGGTAGTTTGTCCAGTTCTTATCATTAAATGAAAACTGTAATTCTTTTTCACAGCTAATCCTATATGAGACTATAGGAGTCCCCCAGTGTTTGGCACCACAGTATGATTCACTGTCTGGTTCGACTATGACTATGTGTTAAAAGTACCAAAGTTTGAATTGTGGCCATACAAGTACAAAAAGGCGCACACAGTGGTTTTAACCAGGATTTAACACAGGGGCCATAGTCACAGGGCAAGAGGCTGGCAAGTATTCCCCTCCAAGAACCTGTGACAAGGTCCTGTTCATCACACTCACCTTGCGGTATTTGAACTCAGCGGCCATGTGTCTGTGTACCTGACTCCTGCAACCTGTTGATGGACACTGGCCGCTGCGGATCCATGCCAAATTCTAGCCCCACATCTGCCCACGTTGATTATGATTTCGGCGTGCATGTGACGTCACACCGGAGACGGGCGTGCATTTTCTGGGGTCAAAGACTGATTTTCTGATTAAAGGGCTTATTTAAACGCAATTTTACTATTCCTCATTGCCCTGTCGTGGTTTCCCTTAGTGGTAGTCCAAGAGGTCGTTCCTTAGCATTTATTTCTGGATTTTGACTTTGGCTTCGTTTTGACTTCCCTGTATTCTGGTATCCCTGACTTCTGGCTTTCCTCATCGTTGTGTCTCATTCTGTGTCCATGACCTCAGCAAGCATTCTGGCTATTCTTGGGTACGTTAAGTCTGGCCATTCTAAGGCCCGGTAAGACGTTACCTTTTAGTCTTAGGTGTGATACAATTCTACGTGCTGGATCAACTAGTAATCCTGACAGGGCCTCTGTTGGAGGTGCCAGCTAGAACCGGGAACCATGTATCACATATGGTGGTCGTGCCATAAGCTCACACTGTTTTGGGACAGGGTGGCAAAACTTATTTTGACCACAGCGCACGTAAACCTGCCAAAACCCCCAGATTTGTATTTACTGCAGCTTCTCTCAACAGATATTCCAAAGCATAAACAATACCTAACTTAATACATTCTCATAGCAGCACTGTCCACAATAAGCAGTTGTGGGTTTTTTTTGTATCTAAAAAAGATGGTGAATTACGTCCATGCACTAACTACAGGGCATTAAACAAAATCACCATTAAAACCATCATTCATACTGGAGGTTGATGCTTCTGAAACGGGGGTAGGGGCTGTTTTCTCTCAGAGATAGAGTCAGGATACCCTTTTGCATCCTTGTGGATACTTCTCTAGAAAGTTGTCTCCCGCTGAGCGTAATTATGATATTGGCAACAGAGAATTATTGGCCATTATACTAGCGCTTAAAAAGTGGCGACATCTTTTAGAGGGTTCAAAGGATCCCCTTTTGATCATTACTGACCACAAGAACTTGGCTTATATAGGGGATAGACACAAAATAAAATGTACGCCTTAAACATAGGAACATAAGATATAAATACCTTTCCCTCTCTTAAATGCTACAGGAGATGAAAACACATTAGGTTAAAGATCAACATAAGACAAGTGATTCATGTTTTTACAGATTCCGTGAATGAAGCATTTAGTACACATTCTTTAGTATGATGGTTTATTGCTATCTCTGAAATCCAATGTAAAGGAGATATCAGGGGATCATATATTTTAAATATTTGTACTACTTAGCTATGTGTTTAGGTATTCTTCATGTTTTCATTTACTTCTCCAGTGTCTATTGGGTTTACTCACAATGGTCCATATGGATTGATTGATAGAATAATTAAAACTATCCAGTGGGATTCAGTGACTAAACTCATGTGTATATACTCACTCTCATCACACTCATCAAACTGAGCAACGCAGCTTCCAAATGAATGCAGATGTATTTAGGATTTTAGTTTCTCCAGCTGCTACTGAAAGTTTCCTATACAGGATTGACTGCTCAGATTAAACAAAATTGGCAGCTTTCTGTCTTCAAATTCGGGCCACCTGAATTTGTACAAATGTATTCCTTCATTATATTTGATTTGACAAAATAAAAAATATAAGTCAATATGTTCTTGCAAGAGATCAGTACATATAAAATCAACATCATAGTAAAATGGTATCTATTTATTAGACATCAAAATATATATAGTGTAAATGACATATATTTATCTTGTGAAGAGATGGTGCAGTGATTGAACACACCCATCTTTGGTGCATGAATTAGGATAAGAAATAATAAAATAGTGAGAGCACTCAATAAATGCAAAAAACTATATTACCAGTATCGTCCTAAGTGGCTAGAACAATGAAAAAAGAACATAGGGTAATATTGTTTTAAATTTATAAAATAACCATATATAATTGGTTACACTCACATGCTTCTGAGTCACTTATGTAAGCTGACTCAGACTAAGGGCTTTGGTTAGAGTCCTTCTTAAAGACACAATGTCACTTTTACAAATTTTAAATAATTTTAAATGGGAAGATGGATTAATTTTAGTTATTTGTGATGTCAGCAGCCTCTATACCATTATAGAACACGAGAGAGGTTGCGAGGCTGCTAGACACTTTTTAAATAAAGAAAATGATTTGGACCCTCGACAGATAGATTTTATTATAGAGGGTATTCAAATGATCCTTTTTAATATTTTTTTCTGGTTTGAGAACAATTTTTATTTGCAGACCAAGGGAACAGCTATGGGGACCAGATTTGCCCCAAGTTATGCAAACCTCTTTATGGCATTTTGGGAGGAACGTGAAGTTTTTTCCAGGCCAGAGGTTGGGGCAAGTCTGGTCCTCTATAGACGATATATAGATGATATTTTTATAGTATGGAGAGGTACCCAGGATTCTCTTTTAAGTTTTTTAAATGATCTTAATCAAAATAGTTGGAATATTAATTTAACATATGAGATGAGTACGCAAAGTGTCAATTTTTTAGATTTAAGCATTTATATTGAAGACAATCAAATTAAAAGTAAAACTTTTTTTAAATTAGTAGATGTAAATAGTTTTATTAATTTAAAAAGTTGTCATTTTAGACCATGGTTAACTAATATACCTAAAGGACAATTTTTAAGAGTAAAACGTAATTGCACAGACACTCAACAATATGAAGAACAGACACAGATTTTAATAAATCAATTAGTAGAAAAGGGATATAATCAAAATACCTTAGAAATGATAAAAGAAGAAGTTGGACAGCAAACTAGGGAGAATATTTTAGAATATAAAGAAAAAGAATTAAAAGAGGACAACACTATTATACCTATCATTTTTAATTATAGTTCAAATAGTAAGCAACTACAAAAAATAATTAGAAAAAAATGGCTTATTTTAGAACAAGATCAGGATATACAACACTATCTAGGAGCCAAACCTAAAGTTATTTTTAGAGGAGCAAAAAGTTTTAAACAAGTTTTAACCTCAAGTGTTTTAGAAAAAGATAAAAATTCACAATTTCTAACTATGTTTAAAAGAGATAATGGTTTTTATTATTGTAGAACCTGTAAAGGTTGTATGTCAAGAAACCACAAAAATAAAAATGTTAGTGAGTTTCTATTCCTTTCATAATAAGAAATTATATGACATAAAATCTTTTATAACCTGTAATTCTAAAAACATAATTTATATGATTATTTGCCCCTGTGGATATCAATATATCGGGAGAACCTCTAGACAACTTAAAATACGAATTAGGGAACATATTTATAATATTAATAGAAAATACACCCTACATAATACCATAAAAAGCACGACCTAAAAATACAAAGGGAGACCAATAGTGCAGACAAAAAAAAAACAACTAAATACTATAAAAAGGGGAACTATAAAACACTCACAAACATAGAAGTAAAAAGGCAGGGTATAATCAGTCTTCTTCAAGTGCTATATGGTATTCGAAAAATTGCTTTATTATATGCACTTACAAAATAAAAGAAGTAAAGGGGCTCATCAATTCAAATCACATCCGCTGTCTGCCATCCAGAACAAGTTAAACGCCAAAGGAAGGAGACAAAATGAATGAAAAAGAGTCCAAAATAAAAGAATTTACAAGTCGTGAAATAAAGCTTGCCACCCTACGCGTTTCGTCTAGAAGACTTCGTCAGGGGCTCGTGGCAACAAACTTTGTTGCCACGAGCCCCTGACGAAGTCTTCTAGACGAAACGCGTACGTTTAACAATATATTAATATTTCTAATTTTCCCTCGATCTATGTGTCTATTGTTTTCCCTTTTGGAGGGACCTATGTGGATAATTTGTATTCCTTTGTGATTATGCCAGAGAGAACTGGCAAACATAAGCAATCGGAGGACTTTAAAAATGGCATCGATAGTGTTTCCGGTATACAATGCCGGAATGACGTCATGACGTGCGGGACACGTCCGTCGACGCTTGATGACGAAAGCGGAAGTAAGGAGAGACGGAAAGCGCGGGAATGAGCCCTAATCTTTCACAGCATAAAAGGGCAATTTGGAGATGGACTTGCAACACCACTTGAGAAAGGCTTTCTTGCCGAAACGCGTTGTGGTACTTCAGATGGACTTAATGTTACCTGTATTTGATTTTATATGTTTTTGAGTTAATAAATAGTTTTAATGTGATCCGGTATCCTGGAATATTTTAAATTTGACATCCAGAGATCGCCAGGAATAACTCATCTTCATCCTGCATATCAATACAAGGTGTCCAGCATAAAAGGTTTAATCTCTAACCAAAGCCCTTAGTCTGAGTCAACTTACATAAGTGACTCAGAAGCATGTGAGTGTAACCAATTATATATGGTTATTTTATAAATTTAAAACAATATTACCCTATGTTCTTTTTTCTCTTCCCCTTTTTTCATTGTTCTAGCCACTTACTCAGGACGATACTGGTAATATAGTTTTTTGCATGTATTGAGTGCTCTCACTATTTTATTATTTCTTATGCACTTTTATTCTGTGTGGTTGAGTGATTCACACTTAGTGATAGTAGCACCAATTTTACTGTTTTTCCCATATTTCTAATATTTTACTGCATGAATTAGGATGCCTGAGCTCCCAGTATGGAACTGTAATATTTCTGGTCTGAGATTCTTTAAAACAGTGTTTCCAGTAAAACTGAAGAATCTCTGCAGAAACTTACCAGCAATGATGATAGACACATTTACATAATAAGACATAAAAGTGCTCAGTTCTAAAAAGGAATGCAAAAATGTGGAAAGGAATGAATCACCAATGGAATGTGGAATAGTAAGGGGATGGAATTGTGGCGCCTGTGCTTCGTGTGTGTGTGGCAGCTTGGTCTTCCCTAACCAGAGTCTCTTCTTTCTGGTGGTGTAGTTGGATTGCAGAAAACGGAGCGGGGAGACAGCGCCTGTAGAATTGTTCTCAGATCAATTTTCTGGAGCTTATGTTCAGCTCCAGATTGATACGCATGGACGGAACAATCCCCGTCTGTGGATATAATGGTAGATCCAGGTGCTTCTTGATGAGTTTTGTTCCCAGGCTGTGAATTATTGTAACACTGGTTGGCAGTCAGATGTCCTCAGTATAAATGGGAAGATAAAAACAGACTATAGTGCTCTCTGTATGTAATGAACTGAACTTTTTTTGAAAATATACTTTTTATCCTGGAATTTTATCCTGAAGATTCTCACAGGAACATCCTCTGTGGGGATTGTACCACCCAAGCCTTATAGGATTGAGCAATATCTGTATTTGCTCTCTGTTTGTGAGTATATTTTATCCTTTCTTTTTTATTTAGTTCATTACACACGGAGAGCACTATAGTCTGTTTTCATCTTCCCCTCTTTACTGAGGACATCTGACTGCCGACCAGTGTTACAACAATTCACAGCCTGGGAATAAAACTTATCAAGAAGTAGACTGGGCCAGCCACAGCAAAACCGTCGCGGTGATGGACCTAATCTACTACTCCAGTACTATAGTGTTAGGAATACATGCTTGTTCCTTTAAAGTAAATCTGTCACTTTCTTTCTTTCTTGCTTTCTTTTCTTTTTTTTTTTTTTAACGTTATACATAAGGAATAGAAGGGACTTCTTTTCCTTAAAATATGACCTGAAAGTTGACATTGTGGAGCTGTAGTCAATTTGCTGTACTAATCTTCTTAGAGTGTTTCGTAAATGCCACTGTGTTTTGACACGCATGCAATCGAAAAAGTCAACAGTGATCCATTTGATATGCACTATCAAGAAATGGCAAAGTGTCGAATTCCTGGCACTGCTATCTTAGGAACTCAAAGAGGGATGACCCAGTAGGACTGGCACAACATTGAAAAAGGTAAGTTGCACTGGCCTTGGGCCTGAAATTCTTGGGGGAGGGGAACTATACAGAGGCTAAAGGGCAAGACCTGAAGAAATGACAGATGCGATTTAACTCCTGAAGTGGACCTGTAGATATTTCTTAACATTGTTTAACACAATGCTAACTGTGTCTGTATCTCCACTTTGGACCTATCTTTGCCTACGGACTGAACAATCGCTCTCGCTAATTAGTCAATACAGCTTATAGTAGAGACTGATCAGCAGCATCTAGAGTTGCTACTCTTTGAGATGGACAGAGGATTTAGACCAGATGTGAATGTTGCCTTACCTGGGGGCTTGATGTATGCTTCCACACTTTAGAATAAGGCAGAAGAATGCATTAGGAGAAACAGAAGGACTGTTGTCTATGAATAGTGAGGGTTCCAAGCAGTGGTTGATGCAAGTGGACAAGCAAGCATGCTCAGAATGTCACTTCAAGAAGGTATTAGTAGAGCCATAGTAATACTTTGTAGGGCCGTATGCATGATACCAGGTTACCACCAATATGAACCATCACATAGAATGGTTTATTTTCTGTTTTGTAATGTATGTATAGATGGTATATATTTGTTATAGTGAACATTTGAGACATTTTAGGCTGTGTGAATAGAATCGCAATAGTCTCCAATACTGGAACAAACAAAAACAGGTCAGATGTTATGTGATAATTTAAGCAAATAAATATGATCATCACTACTTAAAGTGAATACTTTCCTTTAAATTAGTTTACAGTGAAGGTGTTATTCCTTAATGGTTAGGGCATATCATGATGTATATTTTATATTTTTACCCCAGCTAAACATCTATATCGAATAACTTAATATGCATTATTTTCTCTTAATGGGCTTTTAGATTCCATTTTGAGATCCTTTTTGGCAGCTACGTAGCTTTAAGGCATTTGTGTCCTAATGAATCAAGTCTGAGGAATATCTGCTTGCAGCTTACACAAGCAAAGAGGAAGGGAGAGACTGATTTTTGGTAAGTGACTTATATCGGGAAGGGGCACTCTCATTTCTTTACCGAGAACAGCAGACACAGTTGCTTAGCAACCAGACAGCTAATTGCTTATGTTGAGATCACTACAGCTACCTTCCCAACAGAGAAGATCAGATCATTAACAAGCCCACATGTGCATTTTTCTTTCTGCATTCTTGGTTTCTAGCGTAAATCATAGCAAAAAAAAAAAGACGGAATTCTTCAATTAAAGCCTTAGTACTATTTAGCCTTAAAACTGGTTTTTTTTTTTTTTTTTTCCTAGTATGATTGTTGATTCTGTTAGCAACCAATAATGCAAGAAATTATTGCCATGTAATCGTTTTTGGCTAAATGAAAACAGTCAGTTTCTCATTACAAATCTACAAAAATGTAATAATAATATCTCTTAAAAAAAATTATTCTACTTTATATTATTCAATATTAAATGATAACATTATTTATTACTCTCACTGGTGGTATTTGAGACCTTTTTTTGGGCCATAGGATTTCAGAGGCTTCAATGGGATAAAAAAGAGTTTTCACTCTGACAAAAACAAATGATCATTGTGGAGCCACATCAAATTTCACAGCATGGATTGGCTGAGAGTGCTGGGGCTCTAAGCAATTCATTGCCATGCAGGTTGGAAGAAATTGCCATTGGTATCGACTTTGACACTGAAGGGGCAGTCGGTTCATATTAAACAATTGCTGAACTGTTTGACATTAACTGGGGGTGGCACCAGGACGCGTTGAGCAGCATGATCTTTACTGCAAAACTGTGCGGTTATGTTACTTAGAGGCCCCTTTAACTTCATGCCCAAAATAAATCTACTTTAACACACTATTAATTTATATGGGGGGGCTATGAAACACAAGGTAAATAAGCCACACTTTATTATGCCCACCTTATCAAGCCAATTTAACCTCTATTTTGTCCAAGAATATAGTGTAAATTATGGAGCATGCTCAATACTTGGAATAAATATTTTTAGAATCTTTGCTGACAAGGAAGATCTTTATCTCTTTATCTATATAATTTACAGTCTGTACATATCCATGCTTGGTCCCTTTTTGACAGTGTTATGAAAGGGAAGAGGCATAATCATTATCACATAAAGCCAAGGTGAATAGCGTTTTAACAACTATGGTGTCAGGAATACATATT